GGGAGCGGTCCTGGGGCCTTCTTGGGCTGTCTTGGGGGCCTCTATGTCACTCCCGAACCCCACTTGAGCCGTCTTGGGGCCCTCTTGGACCTCTCTTTGGCCGCCTGGTGCGATGTTGGGGCCTTCTGGGACCCTCTTTGGCCGTATTGGCGCTCTTGGGGGCCTCTGGGGGAATATTATAAGCATGCAAGTTTTCCGAAGGGACTGGGGCCAATTTTGCTTCGGCGGGCCCTCTTGGGAGTCCCGCTGGATGCCTCTTGGGCCGTCTTGGGCGGATTGGGGGGCTGTCAGCGGACCATCTTCGGCTGTTTGGGGGCATCTTGGAGGCCTTTTAGGGGCCTGTGGGGGGCCTCTGCGGGCATTCTGGATGCTGTGGAGGGCCTTCTTTGGGGTCTCCTAGGGCCTCTTTGGGGAGGAAGACTGGGAATGTCAGGCCGGGTACCCCTGTGAGCCCTTTTCAGGGAGCGGTTCTGGATTTTTCTTGGGCTGTCTTGGGGGCCTCTATGTCACTCCTGAACCCCACTTGGGCCGTCTTGGGTCCCTCTTGGAACTCTCGTTGGCCGTCTGGTGCGATCTTGGGGCCCTCTTTGGCCGTGTTGGCGCGATCTTGGAGGCCTCTGGGCGTGTGAATAGCACATTTTCCGAAGGGCATGGGGCCAGTTTTGCTTCGGCGGGCCCTCTTGGGAGTCCCCTTGGATGCCTCTTGGGCCATCTTGGGCGGTTTGGGAGGCTGTCTGCGGACCATATTCGGCTTCCTGGGGGCCTCTTGGAGGCCTCTTGGGGGCCTGTGGGGGGCCTTTTGGGGCATTCTGGATGCTTTGGGGGGCCTTCTTGGGGTCTCCGAGGGCCCTCTTTAGGGAGAAAGACTGGAAATGTTAGGTCGGTTCTGGGAGCGGTCCTGGGGCCTTCGTGGGCTGTTTTGGGGGCCTCTAAATCATTCCTGAACCCCACTTGAGCCGTCTTGGGTCCCTCTTGGAACTCTCGTTGGCCGTCTGGTGCGATGTTGGGGCCTTCTGGGACCCTCTTTGGCCGTCGTGGCGCGAGCTTGGAGGTCTCTGGGCGAATATTATAAAAATGCACGTTTCCAGTTTTGCTTCGGCGGGCCCTCTTGGGAGTCCCCTTGGATGCCTCTTGGGCCGTCTTGGGCGGTTTGGGGGGCTGTCTGCGGACCATCTTCGGCGTCTTGGAGCGACAATTTGGTGATTCTGGGCGTCTTCGGCTGTTTGGAAGCCTCCTGAGGCCTCTTGAGGAGCTGTCCTGAACCGTCTCGGATCACCCCCAGAGCCCCCGGTATCCCCATGCCCCCTCGGGGCAGCCGCCCCGGGCGCCTGGGCGACAACAAAAAAATCCTGCCCGCCTAGACAGACAGCGGCCAGCCGTGTCACGAAATGCGGCCCCGAAGTGTGGGGAAGACGCGCGATACGAATGAGCCCTAGAACGTATCAGCGCCACTGGGGAAAGGAGGAAAAACGACAAGAGGGGAAACCTGGGAATTGCGTGGAATGCGCAGACACGATGGCCAGCCGGCCATTTATATAATGCGCGCAACGCGGGGGGTGGCGAAAAGAACCCTATCGCTCTGGATTCGGGCCGGCCGGCGGAGGAGGGAGGGGGGGGGAGGCAGAAGAAGAAAGCAACAATGAAGCGAACTACCCTTCGTTCGCAGGCCCGCCACCGCGCGTGACAGGAATCTAGGCGCGCCCAGACCTGCTACGACTCGGAAAAAAAGAGCCTACCCCACCCCCAGGGGCAAGGCTCCGCACTCGAGAAACGAACCGAAAGGAGGCAGAGGCGAGGAAGGAGAGGCACGAACTTTACTGCACTGATCGGCGTCGCTGCGATGGCCCATTCAGACAATTCTGGAAGAGGGCCTGCTGTGCTATCACTGCTGTTGGAGGGTGGTCCCGGCGATGAAACAAGTTGAACGTGTTGTAGGCCGCGTACACCAACAGGGCGAGACACGTGAAGGATTCGTCATCGACGTCGCTCCCAGCAAATAATAAATGCTCCCACTCGTATGCTCGAAGGCGGAGTTCACGAGCAGCCACGGCCCGGATTGATGGGCACAGGAGGTAATGCTCCACGCTGTCCTCAGGACCAGGCCCGCAGCCCAACCAGCATATGAAGCGCGTCGCCCCACGAACTTGAAATCTGCGCGCCGTGGTCCACCTGTTCCAGAGTGTGCTGAGGCAGGCCGCGCTCAGACGAGGCGCCACCAACGTCTGGAGGCGCTGGAGGTTTCGCAATACCTGTCGGGACGTCCGCGCTGGATATCCAGGCAGCAGCCACCGCGTCAACTTGTACCGCATGCGCACTTCTGGGTTCGGCGCTCGTGCGGCCGCAATCTGGCGGTACAGCTCCCTCTGGAAGCCTTTTCTGCACTCGTTTGGCCACGTGGGACGCCCATGGCCGCGGACTCCGAGCGAGGGCGTCTTCGACATCTGTCCTCCGAATGCCGAGGAACCTCACATTTTCCATTGCCGCTGCGAGCACCCGCGCGTGGGAACGTCCATACCAGTCCGCCCATCGAGCCCGTCTCAGTGGGAAGTCTGTTTGGCCCAATAAATGTTCAAGATGCGCCGCCCTCTTGCGCAACCCTAGGCTGCCGGATCCCAGCTGCTCCCAACAAGCCACCTGGACTTGGGCCGCATGTGCCAAGTAGCGCAAGGATGTGAAGGACCGCGCCTGCCCGTAAGACTCCCGCCAGTGCCAGCAGTCCTCCGGGATAATCCAGTTCATGGGGCCCGCTGCGGATTTTCGGGCGGCTTGAACCTCCGCCTTCAAGACCTCCGGCGGCGGCTGCTCCAGCTGAGCCAGGAATCCGAGCACGGACATGCCAAACATGTCGTAGGTGCGCGCGGAATGCTGCAAGCCCAGCGGCGCGGAACCCCAGAGGGTGCACCGGTCAAGGCATTGACCGGACGCCTTCGACCACGAACCTCCCCGTTTTCCTGGTCCTTCTAAGAAGCCCAAGTAGGTGCTCGAGTCCTGCACGGCGACTCCGCTCCAAAAGTCAGACATTGCTGATATTGTTCCCGCCGCCCTGTCTCCAGAGGAGGCCTCCCATAACGGGATGACCACAGTTTTCGGCAAGTTCAGCTCCAGCCCCGAAATCGAAGCAAACTCTGAGAAAATGCGTTCCATCACGCCCGCGTCCTTCAGGAAGTCCTCCAAAGCAGCTCCAATGTCATCCGCTAGCGCTCTGAAGGTGGCGTCGGGGAGCGCTTTGAAGAGGCGTCGCAGGAGAACGTCTACCGTGACGGCAAACAAGAGGGGGGACAGTGGGCACCCCTGCCGAATACCAGCGTGGATCCCAAAGCCCTCGAAGTCCCCTCCTTTACAAATGAGTCGACAACGGTTGCTATCATAAAGAGCCCGAGTAAGATTGAGGCAGTGCCTGGGGACCCCTATATGTTCCAAGACCGTGCATGGGTACTTGTGGTCCTCGCTAAAGAACGCCGCCTTGAAGTCGAAGAAAACCAACGTCCCGGAAGGTCTCGTCAGGCTGATCCGCATTGCTTCGAAATCGATGTCGACAATATTGGCCAACATGGAACGTCCGCGCAAAAATCCACGCTGAACCTTAGATACCCACTCATTGAAAATCGGTTCCCATCGCAATCGGGCGGCATTGGCCAACAGGCGGTTGCCCGTGTTGCCGATGGTGAGGGGCCTGGTCGCAGAGGCGAGGTAATAGTCGCCCAATTCCTCGTGCACTCCGGACCGCTTCTTGGGGAGGCAGGACAACAACGACAAATTAAAGTCGTGTTCCTCGGCACCGTAGGCCGATCGCAACCTGGCGGCAGCATCCGGCTTTGCGAGGTCCAGCACAGCCTCGAATAGTATCTCGACACCGAGGTCGCCCACCTTCTTCCACGCCTTGTAAAGGATACCATCTGGCCCCGGGGCGCCATTGCCAGAAAGCTTTATGGCTCGATGTACGTCCCTGCGGCGAACCTGCCAACTCGGAGAGCTGGTGTCTCTGAGCCCGCTGGCCACCCGACCCCGCTCATCCCTCATGAAAGTATCCTCCAACCAACTGGACAACAGGGGCTTGTCGATGGTCTTCTTGGAGAATACCTTGGCCCAACGTTTGCGCAGAACCCCTGCCATCTCGGCTGGATCTGCAGTCACCGCACTGCTATGCAGTCATCTCGGGAATACATATATATATATACATACAAACACATGACACTGCTATGCCATATAACCTTCGAACAACTGGTATGTCGAACGTTGGCATGTCGAACCTGGATCTGCCATATAAGCTTCGAACAATTGATATACATATATATATATATATATATATACCGCAGTGATATGTCATACTCTTCAACAAGCTGCTTCAAACTCCGAACATTGACATGCCATATAAAAAGGTCTCGATCGGAGCGTCTGCCGTGTCTCCAACATGGCGTTCCCGCTGCAGCGTTGGGCCTTACTTGAGGCTCGGCGCTCTACTCTCCTCGTTCAGGCTGGCGCCCTCTCGCCCCCAGCGCGGGCCACCCTTCTGGACACAGGTGCGTCCTCCTCGTCGTCGCCCTGCCCCTTTCCCCTGCCCCACCTTCCCCTGGTCACTCTGCTCCTCCGGCTTCTCCCCCGCCTGCTCCTGCTGCTGCTGTTCGTTCTCGTCCTCCTCCTTCCTCCTCCCTCCTCTTCCGTCTTGCTTATCCAGCCACTCATCCGCCACCTCCTCCTCCAGTGTGCGCAACTCGCGTTACCCTGATTGCGCATGACGCAATGGGGAAGGTTCGAGGATTCCAAGTAGGCTATGTCAATGACACCCGTCAGCAGTATATAATAACAGCGCAATGGGAAGGGATGGGTGGGAGGGGTAGGATGTCAGATGTGGAGCGAGCGCACCTAGCTTGGCCTCGTACCTCTGTCCTCCACCTCCCATGCATCCTCTCTTCCTCCTTCTCCTCCTCCTACTCCTGCTCCTCCTCCTCCTCCTCCTCCTCATCATCATCATCACCATCAACATCCTGAACAGCAACATCAACATCAACATCAACATCCACAGCAACATCAACAGCAACAGCAACATTAATAGTAATAGCAACAGCAACATTATCAGCATCATCATCATCATCATCATCATCATCATCATCATCATCATCATCATCATCCTCATCCTCATCCTCATCCTCATCCTCATCCTCATCCTCATCCTCATCCTCATCCTCATCCTCATCCTCATCAGCATCAGCATCAGCATCATCAATCAGCATCAGCATCAGCATCAGCATCAGCATCAGCATCAGCATCAGCATCAGCTCAGCTCAGCATCAGCATCATCAACATCAGCATCAGCATCAGCATCAGCATCAGCATCATCATCATCATCATCATCATCATCATCATCAGCATCATCATCATCATCATCAGCATCATCATCATCATCATCATCATCATCATCATCATCATCATCATCATCATCATCCCCCCCTCCTCCCCATCCGCAACGAGAAGGATGCCCTCTGAAGAGAAAACAGATGCACCATCTCGTTCTCCGAGAAGAGCAGGTCGCGGCACACCTGCGCGGCGAGGAAGCAGGAACAAGATTTTTGGATATCCGAGGGACGAGGACGGCTGAAGGTCGTGGTGCGGAGCCAGTGGGCGCGCCTCCTCCTGATGCTCCTCCACATCCCCTTCCTTCTCCTCCTCCGCCTCCTCCTCCTTCTCGTCCTCCTCTTCATCCTCCCCCCTCTTCTTCCCGGACCAGTATCCTCCAACTCCTCCTCTTCCCCCCTCTTCCCTCCTCATCTTCCTCCTCCACCCCCTCCTGCTCCTCCTCAGGCTTGCTCCACTCATAATCCCACCAACCCTCTGGACGGAGACGGGAGAAAAGGTCGTTCACTGCCTCCTCCAAATGCCCTCCCTTTCTCCCTGTCCTGCGAGGGGTTGACATCTCCCCCCCTCCACTTGGCTCGTGCGTCTGTGGCGAGGGGTGTCACACGACTCTTGTGGACCCAAGACTGCTCCGAGATGGGCTCCGACAGCGCACGATGGCCTCCAAGAAGGCACAATATGTGGAAGAGTGCTCAAAATAGACACCAACATGTCCCCACTATGCC